TAGTTATTCAACCTTAACTGGTAATCGGACCATGACAGGAGCTCATGCGTCTTACTAGGACTAGTGCCTGCTGAACAGCATGACCAGAGACCACTTACTAATTGTATCTGCAGTGGCACCGCCCAGGCTGCGTTTGGCCAACAGCACACCGACGTTATTCCATGCTCGAAATGAGTTCTATTGCAAACTCAGACAGGCTTATCGACACGCACCTTGAATTTCCCAGCTGGACTGGATGTCATCCAGTACCCTTGAATCGTAGAAAGTGCGTGAGGGCCAAGGACGGGGCCAAGATGGCACGAACAGGAAAACGCCCGGCGCGCTAGCAGCTGGCCAGCGCTTCGCTGAGCTGATGCCCACCATATAAGCCGGGGCGACAGCAGCTGCGGACAGTGCATTCTGAGGCACCCGCTTCCAACACCATGCACTCGCTGGTGAGGTCACCGCTCGGGGTCCTGAGCATCGAGACGGCCAATTGACCCTAGTGTCCAGCTGGGTTGACCCAGGGGGTTCAGTCAGGATTTTCTTAGGGGGAGGGGGGCGGAGCTCGGTGTGCACGCGTCACCGTACTTTTCAGCTTTCTGTTGGGGAAGACCTATGGTGAAAAACAACACAATCCCGGGCCTTGTGGGACCACCCCTCCCCCCCCCCCCCTCTCTCTCCTTGGTTGCCACGTCTGTAGTGACCGATATCTGCACCAAAAGAGCCAAGCGTAGACCAAAGGGTCGCGCCGCAGCTTCAACACCCCGACCTCTTCTTCAAACTACGCGTTCAGGCCGGCAGTGGTAGGCACGTGACCCACCCGCCCCCACCGCATCCCACACTCCGTCAGCAAACACCGTGGACCCACCCCGCCCCGCCGCCCCCCGCACTCCGTCAGCAGACACGTGACCCCGCTGACCCCGCTGACCTGCTGCCGTGTCCCGCAGACCGTCGGAGCCGCCCTGCTGTTCCTCGCCGCCCGAGAGTCGGCCATACTCTGGGACTCGAAGCCCGGCTACCACGCCAGCTCGCACAAGGAAGCCGGTCGGCGGTCCGGCGCCGCCCGATGCTGTCGAGAAGGCCAGGCGACGATTCTTCGCGTACGTGCGCTGCGGGAGAGCACGGTGTGCGGGTTGGTGGACGCGCGCTTGGGCGAGGAGGATGGGCTCCAGGTCCAGATGCGGATGTCATCCGAGAATTTTGCGATCATGAACGTGCAGCTGTCACGAATTCACGACGATCCTCGTTCCAAATTTATTTTGCTGATCAGTTTCTCTGAGGTACTGCGTTAGATATATGATATTACTCTCTCTAGCTTCTCTGAGATACTTCTTCGGGAGACACGTTTTGCCCGGCCAATACACACGTTCTCTGTCGGCAGGCTCTACAACAAGGCGGCGGCACTGGCGGAGGCGGGCACCGGACATAGCTGTGCACCACGGCTACTCTCAGTCCCCGACACCACAGCGCGCCCGCACCACTCGCAGCACCAGTCGCGCCACTCGACCCCAGCAGCACCACGGAAGCCTCCGCAGCGGGTCGCGGCCCACCCACCCGCCGGCCCGAGACGGATCCGCTGGCGGGCCCCGCCGGAGCACGTGACCCGACCACGCCGGGGAGGTGAGCGCCGCCCGAGCCGCCCTTCCACGAGCAGTACCAGGAGCTGGCCGCCGCGGCCGCCGCCGCGCCCGACCCGCAGGGCCCGCGGCAAGCGCCACCGCTCCGGGCCCCGCCACCACTCCTCGCACCACCAGCAGCACTCCTCGCACCACCAGCAGCACCGCAGCGGGCCGAAGCCGACCTACGGGACCGGCCGCCACCGACCCGCTGTCGGGCCTGTGACAGGACACACCGGAGGTGGCCTCCGCCCGGGCCGCCTTCGAGAAGCAGTTCCAGGAGCTGGCCTCGCTGTCCGCCGCCGCGCCCCACCACGGCTACGCTCACTAGACTAGTGAGCGTACTAGTGACAGTTAGCAGCGGGCCATCGGAAAGCCCAGCCCATGGTGTGTCAGCGCACAGCTCTTCGTTACATCCTCCGTTCCCCGTTGATTCGTGTTTAGCTTTCGTACGTTTTTCTCACACACTCACTCTGCTGTTTATGTCTATGGAAATGGTCCTTTGTATGACGGTATATGTACTATATACCTGCTGATGTTTTTCACAGTGATGTTGTCATGATGCGTCTTTAATCCTTGTTGCCTTGTCCTTGCATGCTATTGTCATCATGATTAGTCTGCTAACGTCGGTTTCGTTGTCCCAGTCGTCCACAACACCGAGAGGTCTCACGCACTTCTTCGCATGATTAAAAGTTTGATCATTCATCGAGGGATGCGGGAAGCTTGTTCTGATTGTACGTGCATGGCAACTGTACAGCAATAAAACAAGTGCTTCCAGCATGATCACACAGTCCATGGGCTAAGATGGGCCCGTTTAACTTGGCTGCAGCCGAGTTTAAACTGGTCACTTTTTTGACATCGAACACTGGATTGGGGCCATAAAATGAGTCGGTCCTCCATAAACCGAGTCCTCCCTGGGTTCCCGGATGCGTCGCAATCAGCAGCATGACTCAGGGTTGGCGTGTGAGGTTATGCAAAACCGGCGATGACCCTCGGCTGTGGCAGCGGACTGTGCAGGCACGTTCCTTGAACCCCAATGCGTGGAAAGCATTGGAAAGCATGCATGATAGTTGTGGTACAGCGTTGTGGCGACGAACTTTTCTCCTTCTTTTTATTTTCTCCTTTCTATCTATTTTTGCCGGTTCCTATTTCATTAGTCCGGGTTCTGATGCGTTGGTCAACACATTTTCTTTATGGTGATTTGTGTTTAGACCAACATTCCCCCCCCCCCTCATAGCGTGTGGCAGACGTATACGTCCAGTGGGTTCGAAGTTCCAACCTTTTGGTTCGAACCGCATCCACGAGATAGTTAAATTTACATGTGAGGGGTTTCATCCCCCGGCGAGGAGAAACGCTGGCCATAGGCGGCCGTATTATGACTTTGCATGATGCCCTGAGTTCACCGAGGACAGCTAATACGCAGGTTTTTATAATCTGTACGTGTCCTTGGGGCACATGCCCTCCCCCGCCCCCTTACCAAGTTTATGGCATGTATTTATTTTAATCTAGTGTGCACAGAAATGGTGATTATATCATGTATGAATGGTATAGATGAATTATGTAAGTAACTGCATGTCGGCAATCAAAAATTTCGGGTCGACACGTAAGAATCGGAACACCGAGGATATGCAATACTATGTTATGACACGCAAGAACCGCGCGCGCTTAATGTGACGCTAAACGCGGTCTTGAGCTTCCCCATCTTAAGATTCTGCGTACATCCCGTGTCTGAAGAACAATTTGATTAACAATCTGCTCCAAAATGTTTCACACTTAAGACCGCTTGGGTGATGGGCTGGTCATTGCAACCAGCTGTGATTACGGATCGATATTTAATTACGGCACTCGAGTAAATTTTTGGGACTGCCACACAAGATACGAATAGCCACACATTTGGCTACAAACCGTGGCACAACGAGACGCTACTCTCAATGTTCAAAGGCTTGTTCTTGAAGCATTCCATCATCTTCATGGACGTAACGACGTCTGAAATGTTACTTGGGTTCATTTCCTTGTTGGTGCCCCATTATGTGGTCAGAGTTGTCAAAAGACCAACATGCCAAACGTCGCTGATGTCCGAACCTCTCGTCCCCAGGTGGTTGCGCCCGTGAGCATATTAGCGTTACAAAGGTTACACAGTTACCCAAAAACAGATGGTGGAACGCGTTTATTTTGCTTTCTACAACATGTGCACCGGACAGTGTATTTCTGAAAACTGAAAAACCTCCTACCTTGAATGCAATTGATGTACGACAGCTGGATTGTGATGACACTTACGCTTTTTAACATGATACGGCGTCTGATGTCGCTGAGCTGGTGCATTTCGTAATTAAGCAATTATGTCATGTTTGTGACGTGATATGCTTTGTGCACAACCTTCAAATTTGTTGTGTTGAATACAATGCTTTTAAATGGCTTCCATGTCCGTTGGTAATAGCTCTTTTGTCAATGTCAACGGCATTGTTGTCTAGATGTGCATACATAACTGAACTGTGAGGACGAGAAGTCATGCATAGCACTGCGCGTAAAGAACATGATGCCATACGGTTGTATTATGTGCGTAGACAAAACTACAAGTGTTTTTGATCTTGTCACGATGCATAGCATTATTGCTTGCCACAAAATATGCGTTACGTCAGTTTGATCGACGTCGCATAAGAGGCCGTTCATATATCACGTGACGTATGCAGAAGGAGAGGAGTCTGGTTGAGCGTAACCAGTGTTACAAGGGGAACGGGTCGGATAACGCAAAGCCACCCTCAAGTGCAGTCACAAATCATACTGAAGTTTTTAAAGTGTTTTAAGACGGGTAAAGACAGAAAGCGCTGGCTCCCTCTTATGACAGGCACCATGCCCGTCTTTATTTCGCAAATCTAACTCAATTAGGAGCCAAACGAACAATACCTTTTTGGCGTTTAGAGCGTAACAACGGGAACAGGGGTGTTTCGCCCAGCGTAGCCACTGCGTGACCAAGGGGAGAAGGGGAGGGGGCCTAAAAAAGACAGAAGTGTGAAACATAATAAGCAGACGGTCTTAAGGTCATCGAAGAGGTGGTGACAACTTTACGGCTACGTGGGCCCATGGGGAAGGCCCACCCAACGTTTTCCGAAAAAGTCCCATCCTATCCCGTGCTAACATTATTTTCTACATCCAATCCGTCCTATTTTTCCACTTGGTTTGACGGCTTTAAGTGTTCCACGACATGCGTATATGGAAATCCACCGGAGGGTCTGCAGTCTTCCTGGGTACTCATGAATCCGGGGGGGGGGGGGGGGGGGGAAGGGGGCGGTATCATCCCGATACGGCTCGTGATCCCAGAGCTACAACCTTTCTCCTCTCAAGCTGTTTGACTTTACCACCAGGACCACGAGCCGCCGCGGTCGCCGCGGCCACCGCGCCACGCTACTTATGCATCAGGTTCTCGGGTAAGTACAGGTCGCCGAACTGGTCGTTGAGCCGCGAACTGCCCGGCCGCTCCTTCAGCTCGCGGAAGATGCGCTCGAACACCTCGTTCTTGTCGTCGGTGACGGGCACCGGACGCACGCCGTCCCCCCGTGCCGACGAGCAGGTACGGCCGCCCGTTGACGTACTTGATGCTGTCGCGCATCTCCTGCAACACCTCGCGGTTCTGAGCGGGGCGCCGGCGACGGGCGCCGACGACGACGACGGCGGCGGCGGCGGCGACGTCGTCACCGTCGACCAGGTGGACACGGCGCCCCGGTCCATCGACATGCCGTAAGTGTAGGTGGTGGTGGGTTTCTGATCTGGGCGCGTGACGGCCCAGGCGGACTTGCCGGCGCCGGCGCCGTCCGGGCGCAGCACCCGCTGCAGCACCGTGTTGGCGTCGTCCTGGCGCGAGAAGGAGCCGCAGCGGCGCGCCAGTCGGCCCCAGCCGATCTCCAGCATCAGCAGCGCCACGCCGCACCCGTAGGAGGTCAGCAGGATGTAGTAGATCATGCGCAGCTCCTCGTTCATCAGTTTGGTGCCCTGGATGCCCTTGGGGATGGCGCAGGGAGCCGCGTCCACCTCCGCGTCCCGTTTCCATTTGTTGGCGATGCCGGACATGACGAGCCAGTGAACGCTGAGGGGCAGAGGGTGAGTCATGAGCTGCATGCACCGGCATGTCCCCTGATGTGCAGTGCAGGTCATCGGTGTGAAACACAAGCCAGAATATTATGCAAATTAGGCACGATTGCACCGAGACCTGAGTGAGCAACATAGTCATTGTAGATGACAAGAGTGGATGACGAATCCCTTTTGCAAGTCGCTGAGAAACTACAACTATAAGATGTATATTCGGAGCAAAAAATATTCTAACACAGGTTACGCAACAGGCTTCCAAGACTGGACAGGACCCAAACAAGACAAGTAAATAATGGGTCCCTAAGCACGTCCATAACAACCTTTTCCACGTGCATAGATCCACGTCAAATGGCCATCACCTTGTGAACTATCACAAACATTTTTAACCGGAGATGCTGTTTGAACTAAGATTGCAGTTGTAAAAATTATCCTATCCTAATCCTTGTAAAAATAGTATGAGTTCAGAATGCGCGTGTTTAATGAAGTGATACATATATATGCACATGAATATATATATATATATATATATATACATATGTTGGAATATTTTGGCAAAATCCTTTCTTTTATACATGTTTGACTAAAAATACCTGCCGACTCAGCACTGACGAGCTTTTTGACGCATCGTTCTAGTTTCCGGGCCTTTGGCCTGGCAATATCGCTTAGATTAAAGATGGTTCGCACAAAATTACTCGTATATTAATCGCTCCTTACCCTTCTAACGTTTTCGAGATTCTATCTCATTGTCGGAGAAGCTTGAATGGCACAAGAAATACGTTTTTAGTTTTAAAGGATAAAAAATTGTGCACTACTACTGGAAAGCATCTTTTGGTACCGAGAACACAAATGAAGCATGGCTAATTGAAGTAAGACAGAGTCCCATTTACAAGATACATATACGAAACACTCATAATGGGAACACTACAAAGACACAATAAGAACACTATTGCCATATTCACATCAATAGTGTTCACCGGTCACTACCTAATAGTTCAGGAGTTGCGCAAGAATTTGTTTGTCTGTTTAGTGCCGGAGAGAGTTCGTTAATGCGTCATAATTCATCAAGTCGTTGGCGTCATAAGGTCCTTCATTAGACTTGCATTTAAGCACTGCTCTAATTGTACAGGACTACATTCAGAATTGGTTAGAATCAGACAGATTTTGGTGAACAACAGTTTTTCAAATCCTGACGTTAAAAACGAAATACCACGACCTATGACAAGATACTTTGACAGAAGACCAAGACAACACATCTAACCAGCCTTCAAACTATTTTATCAAAATCAAAGGAAATCTGCCCACAAACAAGACGAAAAACCTTTACGGGAAATTTTATCTCGACGTGGTAGAGACAAAAACGACCACAAAATAGATATCGTCATTTATTATCGTAATAAGACAATATCTAACTTTCTGGTGAGAGACAGCCCAGACAAACCCGACAAACTAAAATGCACCAATGTAGTGCATCAATTCGGATGCAGCATCGAAGGCTGCAAACTTCGTTCCACACACTACATTGGTGTGACCACAACACTCATGACGCCTAACAATGCATTTACGTCACGGGGCACCACTGGACCACACGCGACACTAGCACGGCATGACATTGAAGCAACAACTGACAGACAACACTGACATCTTACGGACGTTTAATGACAGAAGACGCCTTCAAATTTGAGAAGGCATATTCATTAACGAACTCCCTCCTGCGCTAAACAGACAGACAAATTCTTGCACAACTCTTGAACTATTAGTTGGTGGGCGATGAGCACTATTGATGTGATTGTGCCAATAGTGTTCTCATTGTGCTTTTGTAGTGTTCCCTTATGAGTGCTTCTTATATATATATATATATATATATATATATATATATATATGCATGTATGTATGTATGTATGTATGCATGTATGTATCCTGTAAATAGGACTCTGTCTTACTTCAATAAGTCATGTTTCATTTGTGTTCTCCGTACCAAAAGATGATTTCCAATAGCAGTGCACAATTTATATATATATATATATATATATATATATATGTACACAATATCCTGGCTTGTACCTAGATAGATTTTTCCGATGTGATCCACCTAAAATGTTTACCGCTCTAAGCGATAATAGCCTAGAGAATGTTGGTGAGGAGGCCGACCTTGCCTGTCGCTGGAAATCGCAGGAAAATGGATGCCGAATATAGAAAGCCGGAAAGAGCCAAACCATGGATTAAACAGATAGCTATCAGTACCATACAGGTGGCTGGAGATTACAATGCATAAGGGTATTTGCAACCTTATTGCCCGGTGGAGAAAGTACATACATCAAGTATGGAAGGCTCATAAATTATTCATAGGAATGTTCCGTAACTTGTTCAGTGCACTAGCGGGTAACATTATCCACATAAATGAGAAAGTAGTATTAGCGTTATTCCTCAGAGAAAAAACAGGATAATGGAGGTATAGTTGGGTTGATATTGCGGCAACATGCCTTTGTGGACGCATACACATAAATGAAGGCCATGCGATTGTTATTGGCTGGCGAGCGTAAGGTACCGGCGCCATAACGTGAGCTCTCGCCCAAAGAGAAAGTTCAACCTCCACTAAACTGCAGCGTCGCTGGCCGTTCTCCGAACGCGCCCCGCGCTTCTTCGGCGCCAGCTGGTGACAGCCGTGCACCAAGGCTACCGTGGTCTGCTGTGCCGGTCGCTCCATGCCTCAGTGGCGCACCACGCCCGGCTCCGCGACAGGTTCTCTACCCTATATCGGGCGTACGAGACCGGCGGCACGCCAGCCGCCGCCACAGGCACGGCGTGGTCGCGAAAGTCCGCAGCCAAGCTGTGAGGCTCGACGATTCGCACTGATTTGTGGGACAACATTGCGCTTTGCCAGTCGACGCCTGTCAATGCGTGTCGTGCTCTTGCATCGAGCAGCGCTCCAGATGCATAGGTGATGTGGTTCTGAGATGTGGCGCCGATTTTTGTTCTGGTGGGCGTATTGCGTGACGGCAGGAATGGCCGGAACAAAAGGTGGCACTGAAGCAATGCGACTGCTATTGGCTGGCGAGTGTTTATGCTGCATGTGTTCGGCTTGTAGACTTGTCATTGCTCTCACTCACAAAGGGTCGAAGGCTTGGTTGAATGACGAGCCCTTGGGCGCGGCTAGCGAGTACTTGATGTACTCATCCTTGAGGGGCACCACATACACGTGGCAGGTGCGGTTGCTGGAGTAGTAGTAGTCGGCCATCATCATGGCGTTCAGCTTGGACACCTCGTCGATGTAGACGTACGCTGTGATTATAGAAGGCGATGTCTTGCATGTAAGTATACATTGCTCCCAAACGCCATTAGATGACGCATTCGACCTGGACATTTGCCATCGGCAGGCGAGACGTTACTGTTGGCATGAAAATAGAGACGCTTAATTGATAAAAATGTTCTGGCACTTTCTATTGCATTCGTAAATTTGATTCCTTTAAATTTCAATGGGGAGCATGAAGGCAAAATACTTGTATTATGAACGCCAAACGAAAGGTGCAGAATGAAACGCATTTTTCCATTGCAACTAGTGCATCACTATCATCGCACCGTGTCCACAACCACATGCTAACACCCACCTGAACTGCGGACTTTGTCAATAGTCTTGGACGCCGGTGCGTCGGGACTGATGAAGGAGCCCTTCCCGGCCCTTCTCATCCCCATGAGGACGTCGGAGCTGTTGACGTACATCTGGATGCTGTCCCCTGTAATGTATAACACAAACAAGCGCGTCAGAATTAATGACTATCCTAGTGCAGCTGGATGCTGCTGTCGCATACACGCAGACAGAAGTAGACATCAGATGGCGGGCTGTCACGTCAGAGTGGGCATTCCAGACCGCCAGGTGGCATCTTGTCTCCATATTTCGAATATGCTTGCCCGTTGGACGTTAGATCATCCGCAGCCCGCAGGTAATGCGAGATATTGCCCAGTTTAGTCAGGGCTACTCAGATCAAATGAACGATTCAATCCGCATCCAAATAATATTTGCAGTCATAAGCACCCGCAAGTAAGGATTCCCTCCCTAGCTACGGCAAGGTAAAGGTCTTACATCAATACGTCATCACGTCATATTGACAGCCCGTATGCTCCAAAGATTTGTTTCGAAGAAACGCTCTGCTGCCAAACGATGAATCGCCTTGGCCGGCATGCTTCGGCAAGCGCGTGGCCTGCGCGTGCTGTTGTAGCGATGCAGGCGCTAGGCGCATAAACCCGTCACTGTCCAGTTAATGGCGTATATGTGTCGCGTGCCTGAGCATCGCTTTCACGTGCATTTTTCGTACGACCCTTCGGCAAGAAAGATTGTCCAATGCCGGTCCAAACTTATGTAACACATAGTCCGGATACACGATGTCTTGAAGTCCGCCTTAGGCAACCTCCAAAGTCAGCCTAAGACAATGCCCACCTCACCGTGACATTCTATATCCCAACAGCAGCGTTAATCAGGGCTGCAGACGTCACCGCGCGACCGGTTCGAGCGAGCGCTCCAGACCCGTTTACCACCAGCTGACCGCTGCGGGGATGGACACGTCACCCCCCGACGACCCGCTTGGCCCTCGACGCGGCGAACGGCGTCCCTTTCTCATATGGCGTGCTCGAACTCGTCTGCACGGAAGGATACAAAAATAGGCTTGGAAGCTCAAGGCACGGATTCATTTCGTGTATGAAGATTTTTGTCCTCAGATATTGAAAAATATACGTCATCCACCACAGAAGCGGATGTTGTCAGTACATTGGTAAAATTGCCACGCTTCACGGCGATGAGCCACCTCATGACCTGTTACCGATTCAGACTGTTTGGTAAAACAGTATGGCAAACCGGGAAAAAGCCAACATTGCGACAGGACAGGCGTTAAAAAGGGGCCGACAGGTGTAGAGCTGACTCGGTCATGACTAACGCCCCCAATGCCTCATTACCTCGGTCCAGTGCAGGAGCCGGCCTGCACGTGATGCAGGTACGGCGCATCACTCTTGAAAATGAACATTCCATGTCCATGTACAGACACAGTCCATGTACATAGAGGACCTTCCACTGGTTCAATATGCGTTATGTAATACGTAAGGATAAACGGCTTTCTGTGTCAGTACAGACCTCTTCCCAATGACATCTCAGACCGGTCCGCGACACCCTGGACCCATCGCAGATGGAGTGCATCAGGCCTCGTGTGTCGCGTCTGATCCGCCTCGGGGTCGAACACCGGGTCACAGGGTCACGGCCGGGTTAAATCGAGATGCACAGCGGTCGTATCAGGTGGCACACGAGCCTCGGATCAAACCGTGTCAGGTGACACCCGGCGTCCTGACCAAGGCGTGTCAGGTGACAACCCGGCTCTTAGGCTGAGACGTGTCAGACGATACCAAGCGGCTGGACGAATACGTGTCGGTGACACCTAGCGCCCTGACTGAGACGTGTCAGGTAACCACCCGGCTCCTAGACTGAGACGTGTCATGTGATCCAAGCAGCTAGACGGATACGTGTCAGGTGACACCCAGCGCCCTGACCGAGACGTGTCAGGTGACACCCAGTGCCCGAACCGAGCATTTGAGTCATAACATTTTGATGTGGTTCGGTTGGCTTTTTATTAGGCACGTACTGTACATGCGGCCGCTATGCAAAGCATCCTGGCGCGCCTAATTACACGTATTCCATGCAGCACTTGTATGGTCTCGCCAATGGGTACACATCAAACTGCAGGACAAAAGAAAGGGGAATATTGGTATGCTGCCCACAAAACAACAAAGACAACACAACACTGACCTTCAAATACGTGCGACCCAAGTGATTTGGCCAGCATTGACGCCAGTCGATGTGGTATTGCCCGAACTTTTTTCACGAGCACATCCAGGCATGCATGGATGAGCTCCTCGTTATCAAGCGGTTGCGTGATTTACTAAGCAAAGTGCACGTGTATGAAAAAATAAGAGAACAAAAACAAAAGATGCAAAACGCGAAAAGGGGTAGGGCATTACACCAGCAAAAGTGTTGTACACAGTACAGGAATGAGAATGAATAATGTCCCATTGGACACCCATGTAAAAGTACAGCTTTTCATGATTTTAAGAATAATACAATTAAGATATACTTATTTTCAACCGCTGGTTATGTAAAACTTCCTGCAATCACCTGGTGCATGCATTTGTGATGTTTGTCAGCACCGCAGCGTCCCATTCTGCTCGCGTTTGCGTTAACAGGATTGCATGACATTGGTGCGCGAGGGCACACACGCCGGCGGAGTACCATCTTCTCACCTCGCGGCGCAATCCAAGACTTCTGATTGCTATCGATGTCGTCAATGCTGTCGACGGGGATCTTCAGATCGGAGAAGGTCATGTAGGCCGTCAGGTTGGCCGTGTAGAACGCCGTTACCACCGTGATGAAGATCCACCAGGTGGCGAACAGCATTCGAGACGAGTCTGGAGCGGTGCAGCCAATGGGCGCGTTCCAGTGGGAGGTGGCGCAGACGAGCCTGCTGCAGCTTTGATTCGCTGCGTGTTATGCTGTAGGCTGAGAAGGGTCGTGGCCATAATGTTTATCTTGAAGCAGAAGAGCCGTCGCCACCAAACGCAGATCGTTAGTTAAATTGCGGTACGAAACATATCACCAATCTTGATAACGAGCCATGTCTACGGCACACACGCACACACACACACACACACACACACACACACACACACACACACCCACACACACACACACACCACACACACACACCACACACACACACACACACACACACACATACACACACACACACACACATATATATATGCATATATATATATATATATATATATATATATATCCCTCTCTCTGCCTCCCTCCCTCTCTCTCCCCTCTCTCCCTCTCCCCTCTCCCTCTCTCCCCCTCTCTCTCTCTCTCCCCGCCCTCTCTCCCCCACGCACCTGTGACGGGTGAGAGGACGGAGCCCTGCTTCATCAGCGCGCCGTATACAAACCAGACGCATGAGCCCAGCGGAATGATGCGGTTCAGGTGTTTGTCGCTCGTCGCCAACCACACACGGAAGCGGATGATGCCCCAGATCAACGGGCCCATGACGAGCATCGAGATCAGGATCATGATCCAGACCTGACGGGAGGTGCAAGCGCAGGTGGGCCTGTCAGATGTCTCGACTTTCGACGCGAAGCGACAGGGCGAGCAAATCTGGACATTAAATGTCGGGAGCGCCAAACCCATGCAAACCGGGTGGAGCTTTGTGATGCGGCTCTTTCCATTAAACCACGCCGTCTTGGGCTATTGCGCATCATCATTTTACGAGCCTGTCATGCTGTTGTCGGATACTACGGATCAATGTAAAGCAGCTGAGGCGTATGTCAGGTGAACTTATACCTTGTTGCTGAATGGAGCGAGAAGCGAGTCGTCCCTTGTTTCTGCCTTTGGTCTTTCTATTAATAGTCCAATCTGGGAGTAGCCGATCGTTTCGCCAAAGGACACTAAGTCGAGACGTTCAGTTGATGACACCAGAAAGTTTCCAGTCATGTCCACTTCCTGAAACGTTAAAGTCGCATGAGTATTAGAAAGCTGCTCTTCTCCGACGTCTGGGAGACTTGCACTGTGCTCGCTGTCCATCAGTACATGAAACACATCTTAGCCATGTTTGGTGCTGACTGATACTGTTCGCCATGTTAGTACTCGGACTCAAACTAATGACTTTTTGGACTAGACTGGTGTAAATCGATTCATTTTAGGACTGAATCGGGCTCGGAATCACCAGGTTAAGGAAATGTACACTTTGGAAAATACTCAAAACTCATGACACTGTCCGGGTGTCGATATGCCTTCTTTTGTGAGGGCTCTGCCCCTCCCCCCCCCCCAGGTTAAGTTGGGCCTCGAATGTTGGCTTGGTCCGCCAATTTTTTTGGCTGGAATGCTACAATATCGTGGGTAAAAGATGATTATAACACATGCCTGTCTTCTTTGATCTTTCTGCGTAGTGGCGTCTCGTACCACTCTCATAGCAAAAAGTCGTGGTTGATTTCACCGCAAGATACAAATCGTAACAGCTGAGCGGATAAACGATGTAATAAAGTTCCCATACCTAGTGCTATAAGACACGCAATGGTTTGTGATGTTAAAGCGAAAAGCTCTGGAATATGGAGATGACCGAAGTCCTTCATGGCTAACCTCGTCCCCGTCCCCTACGACCGAAATGCGTGCCGCCCTCCATGACCGCCATAAAAGAGCGCCATCGGCGCCCCAAGGTGACCTCTAAAGGTGCGCCTTCACGTGCCGATCAGAAGAGACGCGTGCGTCCAGTGCCTGCTTCCTGGATCCAACCCTGCATGACTTCTTACTGCTTATATTAAATGCTTTTATAAAGTATATGAAGATTAAAAGCATATATTGTGTTTAATCAAAATAAAGAGGGCTAAATCCGGTGAAAAAATGGGATGGGGTGGGGTGGAGGGGGGGTGGGTTGTCGGGCCCCCCCCCCCCCGCCCCCGATAGCTTATAAAAACTGACACTGGGTCACTGGGACTCGGATTCAACCCCAGAAATTTTACCTAGGGCTCACATAAGTTTCTATTATTAAATCGACAATCATGGTTGAATAAAAACGTTTTAACATTAAAAAATTTTGTGTTGCCCTACCTCAAAATGGGTATTCATCACTGTCCTGTCCATGCCCATGTCCCCGATTGCGTTAAATGCCAGACGGTTGAGAAGATGAGGGGTGCAGGCACGTTGGGTCACATCACACCCCACGAGTTTTCTTTTCTGCGACAGTCCGCCAGCCGGTGCAAGTAATGAGCTTGTCCCGACATTTTCGTGGACAGGTGGCAGAGCTAGTGGTGTCCACCGGAATCCTTGAGCTCGCAGCACCTCGTCAGCCGCGTGAGTCCTCCACACACAGAGGGTAAGTGGGGTGGTTGATAACGCCTCTTCTGACGAAACAAACGGACAAGCGGCTCTCCAGAAAGGAGCTGTCATCTTGGAAGGCCGCTGACCTGCCTGAGCAACTATCCGGCGGAAAATTTTCGGTCTGGGAAGGTCGCTCACCTCCTGGACAGCTATCTGGTGGGCTGTGCTTCTAGGCGGCCCAATCGCCTCCCTGACCAGGTATCTGCAGGAGCTGTCAGGGACCGCTCACCTCCCGAGTATCTGTTTGTGGGAAGCTGTCTGGGACCGCTCACCTCCCTGAGTAGCTGTCCGGTGAGGCCTCCCCAGCCGCCGGCCGCGTCAGGGACGCCGCCGCTCGGATTCGCCGACGGTACGTACTCCGGCGTGAAGTTGTAGACGGACGCCAGGATGTTGATGACGCGGAACGACCACCGGTCTGGCTGTGTCGAGTTGAGATAGGCGGCAGTCGGCATCTGGGACGGAAACACGGATGCCCAGCCAAGATCAGCTGAAGGCCCAGGGCATGACAACCACGTTTGACCTGGCTAGGCCATTTCCCCGCTGGACAAACGGGACCTCAGGGGCTTCCCTGGAGGTTATCTAGGGATTGCCTTAAAACTAATGGACGGATGACGCTGAGCATTGTGGGCATTGTGCCAATGGCCCCAGCCTAATGCAGTTAACTGGCGATGATAAGTGAGCTACTCGGTGGCGCATGTCAAATCGGCATCAGCGCCAGATCGAACATACCATGCACACACACACACACACACACACACACACACACACATATATATATATCTATATATCTATATATATATATATATATATGCCTGACGGATGTACATCGTCTGATGTGGTCCCGCGCGGCCACCTGGTGGCGCGGTGGCGGGCAGGAGAGCGGCCGCACCCTCCTTCACGCCGAGCCGATGGTGCGGTCTGCATGTCCCTGGTGACGCTGGGGTCGCATCCACTGAAGCTGGCAGTCGTCAGGCGGAGATAGTCGTTTGTTGCCGCACAGGCCTCGCTGTAGCCTGTAACAGCCGTGGCCAGAACTTCAGTACGTGGCAGGATGTCGGCTACTATCTGGCGGGCGGGAAGGTCGTCCACCTCCACCTGAGCCTGACCGCGGGCTGCGCTGCTCAGCATAACTTTCGAAGTAAAAATCGGCGATCCATGTCTAATGACAATCGCAGCTTCAAAAAACTAGGTACAAAAACAGAGAGCGAACACGCAAACACATTCTCGGTTATATTGTCCTGATATAAACGAACACAGCAAGGGCATCAATAACAAAACTAAACAAGTTTCCAAGGACACGTTAGTACCGGATACACGAGTGAAGAAATTAGTTATAAAATGGCCTGGATATTACTCAGTCTAACTTGCACACGTCTAAGATGCTGACAATGGTAAATACCGCTCTATTACTCGCCAAGCTGGCCGGTAAGAACTGGCAGCGCCGATCGCAGTGGCATGGCGGAGAACTGTGTCACGTGCTGACGGTGTTGACCGTGCGGACTGGCCATCTCCCACCTGACGTCTTCCCGGCTGTTACGAACTCGTGCTGATGACCATTACCGGCTGATGGTGTTGACCGTTATCTACTGATAGTGTTGACCGTTATGGACTGGTGGTGTTGGCAATCATGAAATGACGATAAGATTCGCCAACAACTTGGGCCTCCGTTAATCTAGTTAATCTTCTCAATCTATGGGCAGTTAGTATTGTGTTTAAGCAGTTAAATCAGAGGGCGGAAGCCTAAGTGCATTTTGGCTACTAGTTTCTGGTCGTGCTGTCAGTGGTGTAGCTTTCACATCTTTAGCAGAAGAAAGTATCAGTAACGGCACCTGCCGCATACCTTGCGTCGCCGTCGGATGTGAAGTGAGCAAGGTGAGTTTGGAAGATCTTCTGTTTCTCTTCAACAACTGATAATGGTTGTACCAGTTGCATTGTCTTTAGATGTAAGAAGGAAGTTGAAGAAGGCAGTCAGAGCCATAGCAACGAAGGACGGTAGCATACAAAGGGTGGGTAACGCCTCCTTCGCCGACAATTCCTTCCATGCATCACCCCAAGGCTAGTGCTAAGTTTTCCAAGGAAGGTGGTAAGACATTGCACACCTGGTCCTTCGTTCATACGATTATGAACGAAAGTGTTGACACAAGGCTATAAGTTAAAATTTAAAACAAACATTGAAGCCTGATCAGAGGATCTTACTCAATCCCGCGTCCCTATCCAAAGACGATAATACCTTTCACTGGAGGACGCCAAAGAATAGGCAATACCTAACACGAACAGCTCTTGATCGTACGGGCGAAAAGTCTGTGCTGCGTCTCAAGTCCAGGGCTATAGATCTGACAAGAAACCAGAAACAAACTGACCAGCGCTGCCCCGAGGAGAGAGCCTAGAGCTCTCGTCCCCAGCTACGCGCATGCCAACAAAATAACCGTCACTTCATCAGTTCACGTCCTTCACCTAACTGTCAGCCCGGTCTGCTCTTTTTCTCTTTGCCTTGGAAGCCATTCGACACGGGAGTGCACTTCGTCAGACTGATAGCGTGTCTGCGTTGTTAAACGGGGCCTCCCATCTGTTCCCATTTGCCGAGCGACTTTTCAGGTAGCCTGACCTTGTTCATGAGCTAAGTGGGTAATAAAGAAGCAAACGATTTCGTGGAGTGCTTCCGAATGCCGCCGGCTCCAGCCAGCTACGAGGACGAGGGGGCGTAGCAGATACAGTAGAACACAAAGGCGAATGCGTCTGGAGTTTGCTGTCAGGTGTTAGTGTAACTCGCACAGGCCAATGTCATTCACTGTCAAAAACAGTCAAGGTTGTTCAGTGATTTGTAATTAATCGTCTGCTAAGCCTGGGCGTCCAGGACGTTAGGCGTCTCCCTGACCAGGAA